AAAAAAATAAGGTGGAATAGATCCGTGTTTGCTTACTTTTAATCTGCCCAATAAGTAAAGTTTCAAACCCGAAGGGCTTGAAATACAGGTATGCCCTCGACTTACAATGGCACTGGAAAAAAAACTGACTCAGAACCGTTTTCACAGTTATGACCATTGCGGTGTCCCCGTTGATCAAAACTCCAGACGCTATTGTTAATAGTTATGACCATTGGCTGTTTCCCAAGGTCATGTTTTTCATTTCATCATTTCCCCCTTTTGCGACCTTCTGAGAAGCCAGATTCACTTAATAACCGGCGGACTAACTTAAAAACCGGCAGTGATTCACTTAACAACTGTGCTAAGAAATGTTGTAAAATGGGGCTAACTAACTTAACACATCACACTTAACGACATAAATTTTAGGCTCTTGCAAAACTCAAGTATTAACCGTGATATATAGATAATCCTCAACCTACGACCAACCTCTCCTGAGGGCTCTTACAACCCAAACTTCTGACGGTTGGATTCCCTCCTTCGTGGCCTCACGACTGCAGTGTGGCTACTAAGACCACGGCTATCATCCTGCAGCCCCGTGACCTCATTTTATGACGGTTCTGCAGAAAAAAAACAACCCAGCATATACTACTTCTTTTTTTTGCACAATCATCTCTTAGCAAACCATCGAATTGCTTAACGACCACGTCAAAAAATTGCTCCCCAAATTAGGTCACTCCCTTTGGGTGACTCGATTACGACCACAATGGATGCTGACCATTTTAGGCAAGCTCCATGACGGCCGTAACTTGATGATTACGTGTGGAGTGCAGTTTTAGTGGCTCTTTAGCACATGAGCTGTAAACACACCACCTGTCTGCGCCACAGGATAACTACAGGTGTGGAACAGATGTTTAATCCAAGACGACACATAGCGAAAGCAATGTTCTGCCTTTGATCCCCGAGTGTGGCTGTCCTAAATCTCTTTTAATGACTGAAAAACTGCAGAAGAGCAAAGCTCCAAGGAAGTTTTAATTTCCTTCTGTACAATTATGCAAAGAATATAATTGGTGCATTCCTACCGTTTCCCCGAAAATACAACCTGCCCCGAAAATAAGTCCTAGCTTGATTTTTACACATGCACCCAATATAAGCCCTACCCCCCAAATAAGCCCCAATTAAGATCCCGCCCACTCCAGAGTGGATGGGTAAAAATTAAGCTAGGGTGGGGAAGCGGGGTGGAGCTGCCCTACTACTTACCTTTGGACAGTTGTAGCCAGGGATCGCACACCCTGACACTTGCCTTGCCAGCTTGCCGGCCCATTTCTTCGGCAGCTGGCAAGGCTTTCCTGAAGGCCTCTGTAGCTGATAACATGATTGATCCAGAGCTCTTGTTATCCACTGCAGAGGCCTTCAGGAAAGTCTTGCCAGCTGCCGAAGAAGTTCTTGAAGGCCTCTGACAGGAAAAAGGAGGTTGGGGGAGACGCACGCAAGTGAGGTTAGTCAGTGGATGACATCCCCCGAAAATAAGACCTGATGGCAAAAAAAATATTAAAAGACAGGGTCTTATTTTTGAAGAAACGCGTTATATTAAAAGGTACCCAGTGCAACGTTCATGTATTAAAAAAAGGTACGTGACCCATGCTCCATTCCATACATGTCAAAAGGCCACAGACAAAAGTGTACGCAACGCCATGTTGTAACTACGGGCCTCTTTTGCAAGGGCTGACGCCGTTGGTGTTTGCTCTGCAACATATATATCTAGGTCAGACTGTCAAGGCAGGTGCCAGGCTGTCTGTGGTGCAACAGTGGGCACCAAACTTAAATCAAATTATATCAAATGCAGCCGCAGGGGAGGCAGGCGAAATCGTGAGGATTTAGCAAAGTCTCCAAGTATAAAATTGGAAAGTTAACATTTAAAATCACAGCCTTCTCCTGTCTGATTACACCATGCAGTGTGGGGGGAAAAAGGATGTTTTACAGCAGGGGTCTCCAACCTTGGCAACTTTAAGACCTGTGAACTTCAACTCCCAGAATTCCTCAGCCAGGTTTGCTGGCTGAGGAATTCTGGGAGTTGAAGTCCACAAGTCTTAAAGCTGCCAAGGTTGGAGACCCCTGTTTTAGAGCACTGTTTTCTAACCCTGGCTACCTTAAGATGGGTGGACTCCAACTCCCAGAATTCCCCAAGACAGCCATGCTTGGCTGGGAGGATTCTATGAGTTGGAAGTCCATCCATCTTAAAGCAGGCCAAGCTTGGAAAAGAATTTTAGATTAAACTTGCTGCTATGCAAAGCAAGTTTGAGACCACACCCGAGTTGTTGAATCAACCTATTGCAATGGCTAAGGTTTTTAATAAAACTGTAGTTGGACCACACCTGGAACACTGCATCCAGTTTGGGTCACCACATTTACAAAAATACATCTTGGAAAAAGTGCAGAGAACAGCTACGATGATTAAAGGCCTTTTAATTGCAGTACATGTCTATCTCACACCTCCCCAAAATCAGTAATTTTCCAAATTAAGAGAGAAAATATGAGCCAGCAGTGTGCAGCAGCAGCAGCAGCCAAAAAAAACTATTACAATCCTGGGTTGCATAAACAGAGAGACAAAATTAAGATCATGTAAAGTTCTAATACCTTTAAGTAAAGCCACACCTGGAATACTGCATCTACTTTTGGTCAACACATTACAAAAAAGATGTCGAGAGACTTTGAAAAAAGAGCAGAGAAGAGAAAACTAAGACGATTAAAGGCCTGGAGACAAAAACATACCAAGAACTGTTGCAAAATTTGGATTTGGCTAGTTTAGAGAAAAGAAAGACTTACAAAGGACATGATAGCAATATTCCACTATTTGAGGTTGAGGGTGGTCCGAATACCACTCTATAAAGCCTTAGTAAGACCACACTTAGAGTACTGCATCCACTTTTGGTCCCCACAAGGTAAAAAAAGATGTTGAGACTCTAGAAAAAGTGCAGAGAAGAGCAACCAGGAAGATTAGGGGACTGGAGGCCAAAGTATATGAAAAATGGTTGCAGGAACTGGGCAGGGCTAGTCTAGTGAAGAGAAGGTCCAGGGGAGGCAGGAGAACAGTCTTCCAAAATTTGAGGGGCTGCCCCAGAGAGGAGTGGGTCAAGCTATTTTCCAAACCACTTGAAGGCAAACAAGAAACAATGGATGGAAACTAATCAAGCAAGAAAAGGTGTCTATGGAGATTCTCCATCATCCCGGTCCTGGTGGCAACTGGACTTTCTGGTTTTGCTTTGAAGACCTTTTGCTTCTCATCCAAGAAACTTCTTCAGCTCTGCTTCTTGGAATGAGAAGTGAAGCGTCTTCAAAGAAAAACCAGTAAGTCCAGTTACTGCCCCTTGAAAAAAAGCACCTTTGGGACAACCAAGGAGAGAAGCAACCTAGAATGAAGTTTCTCAACTTCCGAACAGTGAGAACAATTAACCAGTGGAAGGACTTGTCTTCAGAAATTGTGGTTGTTCCATCACTGGAGGCTTTTAAGAAGAGATTTTAACAGCCACTTGTCTGAAATGGCATATAGTAGCTGCCACCAACTGGCGGGTCCGTGAGAATATTTTGGTGGTCCACAGAAAAATTATTTGCATTTTTAAAATTGCACTAATTTATCTTTTTTTTAAAAAAAAATATTAATAGCCGTCTGCGGGATTTAAAATTATGAATTTAGTGGTCCCCAAGGTCCGAAAGGTTGGTGACCCCTGGCATATAGGGTCTCCTGCTTGAGTAAGGGGGTTGGACTAGAATACCTCCAAAGGTCCCTTCTAGCACTATTCTAATTCATCTTTCTTTCTAAATTCTGCTCCGTCTTAACCCAACCTCAAAAACCAGGAGACCCCAACCAGCTTTTTTCCAACCACCAATAAGGCGCACACCCCTCCGCTCATTTAGACCCAAGCCTTCAATCCCTTCATCTGGCCATTTCCCCCTGGTTTCGGAGAACGCCTGACACGCAACGGGATGCATTCACACAACAGGGTGGACTTAAAGGTGGCTTGTTCCCTGCCAGCCTCTTCGAGCTCATCCCCTCACCCCCAGTTGATTCGGCGGTCAAGGTTCCCAGCGCAAGCCAAAGAAAGGAAGGGGGGGGGAATGTCCACGCAAAATAATAAATCCCGATTCAGATCTCGGGTTTCACGTCTCGTCTGAATGCACGCTTATCCTGCTTCGGGGGCGGGGGAGAGAAACTCTTAACCGAGGTTGCTGCTCAGCCCGATGGGCTTCGGGATCGGGCTTCTTTGCAAACCTCGGGCCGCCGGTTTTTGCACTAACACGTGCACAAAACGAGACCCTGCAATCCGGCTTTGCTGCACACACACACACACCCCTCCCCGGGCTTCGGGGTCTCGCCCTTCTTTCAGACTTTCCTAACCGGGAGCCGCTCCAGGATGAATTTCCAGGAGAAATTGCAAAACCAGCAACCGGGCGCGTTGCAAATGCAAAAATACCCCCCCCTTGTTAGGCCTTTCGGTGCAATCGCGTTTTGGGGAGGGGGGAGTAGAAAGAAAAGAGGGCGGTGGGGCGGAAGCTATATTTTTTATTTATTTTTTTGCAACCGCACCAAGCCTGCCCCGCCCGGCCCCGCTTGCAAATTCCCCAGGATCGCGGACCCCCGCAGAAGGGCGAGGCCCAAGCCATCTCCCCACCCCACCCCCGAAAAAAAACCCCACCGTGTTAATCCATGCAATCTCCCCAAAACCCACCACGCAATCCATGCAATCTCCCCCCGCAACCCCCCCACCCCACCCAGTTCACCTTCCCCGGCCTTCTTCCCGGGGACACCCCGGGTTTTGCAGCCCCTCTTCCCGGCCTTGCACGTGCAACTCAAGGCGGCGCCCACCCGGTCTTGCAGCAGCGCAAGGCCAGCCATGCACGCTTCTCGTGGGGGGGGGGGGGAGAGAGAGAAGAAAAGCCGGGGTTCTCTCCCCCCACCCAGACCCGTCCACGCGTGGGAGAGGAGGGGATGGGTGGAATGCATCCTTTCCCCACGACCGCCTTACCCCGTAGGATGATGAGGGATGAGGATTATTTTGCAAATCCGGAGCCAGCGCAGCCTCGCGCCTCCCGCGTGCAAAGCCCGGGCGGAAGGGGGGGCGGGGGGGGGGG